TCTTTGAAATGCGTTTCTACCAATGTTTATTTATTTTTTTTTTTTTTTTGTACCCGAGATTGGCAATTTGAACTATGTAACGCGCAATTTCTCTCGTTACAACTCAAGCGTGAAGAAATTCACTAATTGAAAGGGAATTTTTACGACAGGAACGACACTTAATTTCTACCATTATATTGTAGAAATATGCAAATCTGTGAACAATTTTAAAGTGCTTTAGGGACATTAACGAGTGTCTTGCAAATAATATTCAATAGTGCGTCTAACTGTGATATCTAGAAACTCTACTTTAAAAAGTAATAAACAGCTCTTCCTTTCTTTGAATCACAAAGTATGCGTCCTTTTGTAAGGCAGTAACAGAGATTTCTCCCCTGAAACTCTAAATTTATAACCTGCTATAAGTGGACACCTATGTTTGGGCCTCTAGTAAGTGGACACCCTTGGGACGAGCGTTGGTGTCCAAGTGCATGGAAATGGTGGTTTGTTGGTGTCCACTTATGGAAGGCACCCGCTGACGGGAGGTGTCCGCAATCGGAGGTTCGACTGTACTTGCTTTCATAAAACAACTGGGACACAATACCAAAAGAGTATCCTTTTCAGAGGTCATCGGCTATCAAAGGCAAGCCACAAGCAGCGAGGACATCATAAAGATGCCCTACAGTTAACACACGTTGATTTGCGACATAAGACAATGTGACATCAGCTGGGTTCCGGGTGCGGTTGTCAAGGAAACGAATCTCGGCGGGGTTCAAACCAAGTTCCTCAGCTACTAACTTCCAATCATCTCCCCCTGCAACATAAAAACGACAACAACAACAACCTTGTTTTGTTTTTAGACTGAAGTTTGACTTAACATTTGAGAAAGCGATGGTGACTGACCTGTACTGGTGTTGGAACAGTGGTAAAAGCACATGGCTTGTGATGGTATTCAAAGTGGTTTAGGGTTGTGTTTTATTGCGATTCTCGCCCCGCTCCAGAAGTTTACTTTTAGGCACTTTTCGCTCCTTCCGAAAACTAACGTGTCTGGAATCCAAGTCGACCACTAAAGAGCAGGCAATCTGCCAAAACTCAGGTGCCACTAAATTTCACTCCACAAAAGATTTCGGTATTTCTCAGTTTAGTGAAATGCTGACATGCTCATGTCTTTTAGTAGTGTGCGCTGTTGAAACGGAATCTAATAAAAGCGCTTGGGCATTAACGTCATGTAAAATCTTACCACTCAAGGCGATGGTAAGCTGTCTACCCTTTTTGATAGGAATTGCTCTCACATCAAGGTTTTCAGGTAACAGAGGACCTACAGAAAAAAAAAAGCTTAAATTAAAGAGGTTATCAAAAAACCAAAGGAGTGATGGCAAAATGCAAAGTGCATTCTGGTACTGGCAAAGCAGCTTAAATGATAAAGATGAAAAACCTTTTAGAAACGGCCATATAAACGAATGCTTTCATCTCCCTTTCTAAACAATTAGGAACTTTTGACAGATGAAGGCTACAGACAAATTGAGGGTAGAAGGCGCTCGGCAACCTGCATTTAAACAACGTAAGATTATTAAGCGTGCTTGGCAAATCAATTGCTAAAAAAGCATTAGCTTTCATCTACAGTGGTCGGCCATCAAATATGAAAAAGCTCTACTATTATTGCATCACGAATGTGACTGACTCACCAGTAGTTCCAGCCGGTGAAATGTTCCTCAAGCTTTTAACCACGTCAAGTTTATATGATACGTTAGCCTCCCTTGCCAAACAGCGGATCCACTTCTTGGTCTCATCGTCTGGCATTTCCAGAGAGACTTGACTCAACTTCAGACTCTCTTTGAACTGATTCACAATTTCTTTGGAATCACATGATTGGGACAAAAGGGATTTTCTGACCATATCAGGTAAAGCAATTGCTTTTTCTTCGTTTCCTATAAAAAAGGTGTACTTTAAAAGAGTTTTTAAGTAATATATCAAACAGGAGGAAGAGTTTTTCATCACATTATAAAAGCAATGAGAAGTGGGCTAAAAAACGGGACCGGGCAGCGGGCAGCCGACCTTTTCCAAACCCGCCTTGCGATCTTTGGATATGTCATGAAACAGTCTTTGTAGTGATTGATATAGCTTTTTAAACAATCACCAATTCTTGGAAAAATTCAACGCAAAGTTGAACCGAGAAATAAGAGAAGACTGATATAAGAATCAAAATATAATTAAATAAAATTTAAAACTACATTTAACTTCTAGGTAAAACGAAGATGGATTTACATCCAAATGTGAAATAAGAAATCAATTCCCAGCGAAATTCGAAAAGCAAATGGAAGTGAGTTCACCATGGCCGAGCGCTACTACTACCATCATGCTACGAGCACTTAAGTACTTCGATATGTGCAGCAGAGCCATGCAACTGATCACCAATGAGAACTGCAACGTAATAGAATTGCCCATTTATTTATTACCAAAATTTGTGCCCAGTCCTTCAGGTCATTTTGATAAAATCTCGTTTGGTATGTGGCAGCAGCTTCAAACTCAAAGGAAGATATCCCTACTGGGAGTGACGTAAAAGTATAGTTTACAGAAACACTTTGTCATATCTGACAAACTCGTTGTTGTTGTCG